TTCCCACACCAGCGGGGGAGAGGTAAGGGTGGACTCCCAAAGGCCACTGACTCTGTAAGTTTCAGCTGGGCTCCCAGCGGGGTGCAGGTGGTTCTAGGAGTGACCTCTGAGGTACTGGAAGTTGTCCAGGGCTCCACATGCCTCATACCATAGTGGGGGAGGCACAAAAGTGGCTCACTAGGGTTCCTAAAGATATTCATGGCTCAGCCCAATGCCCAGAGACACACTATGTGTGCAGGGAGTAGCCACCAAGGCCGCAGAGGTTGGCCGGGGTTCTGTCTGCCTCTCACACTGGTCACGGAGGTACAACAGTGATTCACTGGAGTTCCTGAAGATGTTCATGTTCAAGCCACCCCAGGCAGACACAGTATGCATGTGGTGAGTAGCCACTGGGGCCCCAGAGAGTGTCCTGTGTTCCACATGCCTCACATGCTGGTCAGGGAGGCATAGCGGTGACTCACTGGGATTCCTGAAGATGTCCGGGTTCAGATCTACCCAGGAAGACACACTATGGGTGTGGTGAATAGCCACTGAGGCCCCGGGATTCTGCTTGCCTCACATGCTGGTCAAGGAGGCACAGTAGTGACTCACCAGGCTTCCTGAAGATCTAGGTTTTTTCTTCTTCGTTTCACTTACTCATATCCTCAGGAGCCATTTCTTTTTTAAAAAATAATCTTATTGGTACACTTCTGATGTACTTAATGATAACATTCCTCATAGGAAATTTGTGTGAATATATAACATATATGGATTCTTCTTTCTCTTCCCCATTCTCCTCCCCTCAAAGTCTTCACTTATCCTTGTTTACAAAAGCTTTGTTTCCTTTTTTTCCTTCTATTCTTTTTCCTCCTTTTCTCTTCCTTTCTTTCTCCACCACCATTGTTCCCTTTCCTACAACCCAATGTCTACCATCTATTTTGGTCCTTTCAGCTTCTCACACAGGAGAAACAATATGTTAAACACATATTCAGTTTATTTCACTTAAAGCTATGGTGTAAAGGTACATCCATTTACTTAAAAATTTCTCAACTTTATTCTTCTTTATGGCAGAGTAGTTCTCCATTATACATAAAAACCACATTTTCTTTACCCATTCATCACTTGATGGGCATGTGGGCTGTTTCCAAGCTTTAGTGATTATAAATGTGCTGATATAAACACGGGTGTGCATATATCCCTGTAGAATGATGTTTTTAACTGTTTTGAGAAGACACTAAGAAGGGAAATATTGTATCCTATGAAACCTCTACTTCTAGTTTTTTGAGCAATACACATA